AATTATGCTTTAGGATAATTGTTTCTTAAGAGCGTCTCCGAACCTACACCTTTTCTTTCATTTTAATTTGATGAAAAAGTGCTAAAAAATAATCTCCAATCCTTTCACCAAATCGAAGGACTCATTTTTTTCATCAAACTGACAACGCATCAAATTTGAATTTGATGAAAAAAGGATTAAAGGATTGGAGTAGTTCATATCAAATCAAGTTTTTTTCCTCAAATTTGGAATCAAATTAGATGAAAAAATTGGTGAAGTCTTGGAGATGCTTTTAATGTTTTATATGAGAATTAGTAGATTATATTGAAATGTTTCTCTGAATTCTCATGGGTGTTGTATTTTTGTAACTTAAGCTAGCTTCATAGCTCAAAACTGTGTAGTTGGAAATGTGGGATTAATATTATATGTGGAAATGCATATTTCTTTGGCAATCAAGTTGCAGGCATATTGCAATATGCAGACTTTGAATGTTGAAGCTTAAGTATTGTACATTTTATTGGTTTTAGTTTTGGGTATTTAAAACTTTGGGATTACTTATCAAAAACCAAAACAGTATTAAACCTTGGGACCTGTGGTGGTTTAGTGCTAGAAAAGAGAGGAAAAAGTCAGCAAGATAGTATTCTCAATTTCAGCATTTAAAGGTAATTGGAGCTGAGAACAAGCAAGATATAGAAATTTAGGGATTTTAATGATTTACTCCTTTTTCTTTTATATAAACCTGAGATTAAGGGAAGGAAATTGATAGCAATAGACATCATAATAGTAGTAGTGCCTGCACTGGTTCTAAATTGAAGGCTACAGAACAGAATGGATGACCCAATTTGACAAAGCCACTTTGGTTTGGACTGACTTTTTGAGTCCTGGGACACTGCATGAACCCTCTGTTTGCTAATTCGAGGAATATTTGAAAAATCTCAGTTCCATCCTTTCCGACATTGCTTCATAATCTCTTGGAGTCTATGGCGGATAACTTACTACTTCCAACCTAGAAAGCACGGATACGATACGATACGATATGATACGGATATGACGATCCAACAAAACCTAAAAAAGTAGGATACGGGTACGGCTAGGATACGTTTGTAAAAAATAAAAAATAAAAAAATTATTAGCAATGAGTTATACATAAGCTCAAGAATGTTGAGAAACCAAAGTAACTTTATAACGTAAAATACTAATCTTTAAGAATTAGATATTAATTTAAGCCAGTAGTTAGTTTAGTTTTTAAATTTTTAATATGTTTTGCAAATATTTCATTTCGATATCAAGTCTAATATGTTGATATTATAATATCAAAACAATTCACAACTTGACCCTATGTTTTTTCCTTTTGCACCAGTAAAAAATATTCTATACAAGTTTATTTGCTTATTTATTTATTGATATTTAATTTTACTATTGTTATATTATCTTATTAATCCTTATTTCTATGTAATTATAGGGGACATGCATGATACAATGAATATATGTCAATTTGATGAATTCTATTACTTTAGCTTACTATGTTATTTTTATAAAAAAATTAAGCAAAGTATTGTAATAATATTCTATTTATCCTTGCAATCTATACTATATATATAAGCAAATGTACTGGAGTATGAGAATTCTTCAAACTCTTAATACTAAATTTTTATGGATTCTCTCTCCTACGTGTCACTTCTCAAGTCTCTCCTCCCATAATTTTTAATCATTTGTCAATTATCTAAATCTCAAAAGCTAAAAAGATTATATATATTTTGTTAGAATTTCCCATCTTTACCTTCACCTACTCCACTACACACTCCACTTCACCTACCTCTACTCCACTACACACTCCACTTCACCTAACCCACTATCACCTCCACTACACCTACTACCACATTACCTTCACCTACTCCACTACACACTCCACTTCACCTAACCCACTATCTAAAAAATATTACGAGTCAATTAATTATAAAAATAAAAAGTTAACTATTTATATATGAACAATTAAAAAAAATTTCCAAACTCTTAATACCAAATTCTTATGGATTCTCTCTCCTACGTGTCACTTCTCAAGTCTCCTCTCTCACTTTTCCTAATTTTTAATCATTTGTCAATTATCTAAATCTTAAAAACCAAAAGGATTATATATATTTAAATAAAATGATAAATATCTAAATATAAACAATAAAGAGGTAGAGATAAAAATATAAAATAAGTAAAATAAAATGATAACTATTCAAATTTCAACTACAAAACAATATAAAGAGTCAAATAAAAGATGAAAAAAAATAACTAAATAAAAAATATTGCGAGTCAATTAATTATAAAAATAAAAAGTTAACTATTTATATATGAACAATAAAAAAAAATTAAATAAAAAAAAATATTACGAGTCAAATGATTTTTAAAATAAGAAGGTAATTATGTATATGTGAATAACAAATAAATATACATGAAAAAATATACAAAAATAAAAATATAGCTATTTAATGAAAATTCAAATAAAAGATAACAAAATATTTAAATAAAAAAAAAGAATAAGATTGGGATATAAATATCCCAAAAAGATGATAATTTTTTTAACGATCTATATTTATCTTTTGTTAGTTTGTTATAGAATTTCTATATATTTCAACTTAATCTTTTTAAAGTTTATCTTTAAGTGGAACTTAATATTTTATCTTTTAAAATCATCAATTACTTATCCATACAAATTTTAAACATGATAGAATTCCATATATATCTTTTTTGTTTAAGCATAATCTTTTCAATATAAAAATAAGTTCCTGCAAAATAAACCATGAACAGAAAATTAGGGGGGAAAACAATCAACATTGAGCCACTTCTGATCCCTTTTCGGTGCCTAAAAATCTTAAATATTTGCTTTTACATTTGAAATGTGTACTTGCATGAGTTTTTGCATTTGTAAGAAAGTGAGTTCATATAAATGGATATTTTTTTTAAAATTTTTTTTGGTTACAATCTGTATTTTTCCTTATTTCTTTCTTTCTGTTAATAATGTGTCATTTAATTGAGATTTTATTCTTTTTTTATATTTATAAAAGCACTGCTATTATCAATTTGTAACTCTCTCTCTTATTGATTATTTGTGTTTAATTTTTTTTTTTTTTGTGTAGATGTTAGATTGAAAATGAAGAACACATCAAAATTTATTGGATATGGTTTATACTTTAAATGTATTCATCAGTTGATTTTTTATTGTTGATTATCCTGTTGAAGTAATTCATGATTAAATTTATTTTTAGTAACTTATTTCCTTTGAGAACTAAACCACAAATTTCTTCTTTTTAAAATTTTATTTATTTATTTATTTGGATTTAGAGTTTGAGCAAATGGACGATATCTCATATTTAAAATGTTAATTTTTTTTTGAATAATTTAAATATTTATATTCTTTAAGTTTGTCAATTCAAGTTTAAAACATTTTCAAACCTTTTTATTTTTTATTTTTTTATAATCATTCCAAACCTATTTGTGTTTAATGAATCAATATAACGAAAAAACAAATAGCATGTAAAAAATTTTTAACTACTAACTGAATATAATGAGAATTAAAATTAATTTTATTTTAATTTATTATATTATATGAGATGATTAATGTAATATCTACTATTGATTAAGCAAAATTAGTGTTACTTTTATTTAATATATTAGTCATTTTGATTAATTATAATATGCCTTTGTTAATCTACTTTTGGTTGTCTGAAGTAATTCTTAGACAAATTAGCTATTATATATGTGATGATTTATTAATGTATGATAGTTTTTTAAAATTTTCAATAATGTGAAATATTAAATATTTTTAATGATGTGAAGTAAAATTTATATACACAAACCAAATAAAAATATTAAGAAATATAAACAAATAGCAAATTTTTTTTTTAGTAATTATTGACTTTCTAAAATCCTGTGCATCACATGGGTGACCACTAGTTATATTATATTATGATGTTATGCAAGAAATGATACAATTCTAATTTCGTAAAAGGAGTAATACATGGCTTGGAGCATTTTATACTTCAAAATTAATTAAGAAGTATCCGATAATATGTGACTTGAAGCATCCGATACTTCAAAACTAAGTATCCGATACTTCAAAATTAATTAAGAAGTATCCGATACTTTTAATAAGTATCTGATACGTATCAGTAAGTATCCAAGGAGTATCGGTATCCGATAAGAATACGATACGGATACGTCTCCCTATTTGAAGTATCCGTGCTTCATAGCTTCTAACAAATAAAGTCACTAATAGTCATGTATAACCATTGATCGCATGTCGATCTCAAGTCGATCGTATGCTTCTGTAAATTTCAATTCTGAGCCAAGACTAACACTCAATCCACTGTGTAGGAGATAGACCGCCTGAATATGGGATCAATCTAAAACTTCGTGAAATCCGAGAAGGCCCAGTTTTTCTTAATAACTATTATTAAAACCTTTTAGAGATTCAATAAAACACTTGTTTCTAAGAACCTTTTTCACATGCAATCTAACATGTGTGCATGAATATACCTGGGCGGGTAACGGAGCGAAACTTGATTCGATTATGATGTGATGGTTTGGCACATAGAAATAACCAATCAAACCATATTCTATTACATTATTTCTTCATCTTTCAGTATGTGTATATACGTATGCCATGGTGTTTTAATTTATGTTTTGAATGTGTGTGTATATAGGGCTGGTGGTGTTCTTGATTTTGAACTTTGAGATCCTGGTTGAAGTTTCAGATTACTATTTGGAGCAATGCCAGTTATGTTTTCTGATTGACTATTAGTTTTTTTTTTCAACAGCTTTTTGATTACCAGTATAATATGGGGCTTCTACTTATTGAGAAGAAGGAATGGGTGTTGAAGTATGAAGAATTCAGCGAAGCACTAGTTGAGGCTCAGGAGTTCATCCAACATGAGCATGCATCACATTTATTTGCAATATCTGAAGCTGAGAAGCGAGAGGAGAATTTGAGGAAATCTTTAGGCAATGAAAATAAGGGTGTGGCTGATGTAAGATACTTCTTGCTACTTTGCCTTATAGTATGAAATGTCGTGGATGTTTGTGAAATATTTTTCATTATTTCTTACATACTCATGGTTTTAAGTGTCATTGATAATTGTAACATTGGTTTGATTATCTCTTGCATACCAGTGGTCTGAACATGCCATGGATCCAATGTTTAGTAACCTAGACCATTTAGCAAATTGGAAAAGAGATCGGTTCAAGGGTCATTGGTTCGACCCATTGGGTTAGCCAGAATCGAATTGTGATGTCATAATTATGTCATAAATACGTTAAAATTTATACATAAATATAAAAAATATAGGTAATAAAATTACAAAAACAATTACCAAAAAACCTAAATTTTTTTAAAAAAATTTCTTAAACATCCACCAATAATACAAAAATATAAAAGAAGAACCAATGCAAGTCTCAACCAAATTTGATGTCTCACTTTTATTTAAATAAAGTATATTTATTTATTTTGTTTAAACATTGTTTTATATATTGATTTTTTGAAAAAACTAACTTCAATAAACATGGTTTAAATTGTATATAGTTGCCCAAATATTAACAAATGTGTTAACAACTCAGTGGTTGTTGGGGCTGCCACTTGTTTGTTGGGTTGAATGTTCAAACCCCCTCCCCATCACATTTTTAAGAGGCAGCAGTGAAGACTGTTAAAGCAGCCAGTTGTGGTGAACCGGCTCTAGTTTGGACGGGTTACCGGTTCAACAGTTGGTTTGAATGGTTTAGCCAAATATAAACATAAACAATTTAGGTGGGTTGCCAGGAGCGGAACCAAGCCCGGTTGTCAGTTCAACCGGTTGAGGGCCGGTCTGGTTTTCAAAACCATGTCATAGATGCTTGTGGCTATCCCTTGCATCAAAATAGCCTTTTTATGTTCCATCCATTATTCTTTGACGTAGAGGAACCCTAGACAAATTATGGCAGTTTGTACCAAAAAAAGAAAATTTAAGACAGTAGTGTCTTCCATGGATGATGATGCGGTAGGTTTATACGTAGGATAGCTTGTAGATATATGGTTTCGAGATTAGCAACTTTGTGACTTTGACTAGTGAGAAACTAAACATAAAATAAGACTTGTTGACCTCTACTATGACTGGCTAAAAAATATAGCAATTATGGAAGTATCATTGTCTCAATAAGGAAAAAATCCAAAAAAACTCAGTTGAAATTGGTTAGTAACATAGTTCCTTAGTAAGACTCAATTGAAGTGTAGAATATAAGACATTAGGGTTATGGTTAGGATAGAAGGAGAGAGAAAGAAGAAAAGAAGGAGAATTAGACAAACAGGTATTGGGTGTGTAACAAACTCTCCAACTGAGCACATATTAAAATAATTAAAGATGATATCATGACAATAGTACTTTCAACATAATAACATAAAACTCGCTAATATTCTAACACTCTCCCTCAAGATGGAGCATATAGATCAAACATACCCAACTTGGCAATCTTTTGTCAGCTGTGGCACATAAAGCTTCTTGATGTTCTGATATATCATCTTCTTGGCAGAAATTATTTATTGTGTAGTTCATCTGCTGGAGTGAAGTGCTCTCAGTTTTTGGTGCTAGTTCCTGCAACTTCATTCGATTAATGCAGGCATGTTACAAGCACATTGGTATCATTTTTTTGGTGTCTGGGTGTCATGTGCACTTCCCAATAGCTTGGTTTGTTGACACTTTTGGGCGCTACCTTCTCTGTTTTGTCATATATATGATATATGCGGATATTATGGCTAATATGTCTTCCATGCAGCTTGAGAATGCATTACGGGAAATGTGTGCAGAGCATGCACAAATCAAGCTCACATCTGAGACTAAGTTAGCTGATGCAAATGCTTTGGTTGCTGGAATTGAGGATAAATCATTGGAGGTGGAGAAAAAGTTGCATGCTGCTGATGCAAAGCTTGCTGAGGTAAGCAGAAAGAGTTCAGAGTTGGAGAGGAAATTGCAAGAGCTGGAGGCTCGTGAAAGTTTGCTTAGGAGGGAGCGCCTATCCTTTAACACAAAGCATGATCTAACTCAACTTTCATGTCAATGAATTGTGATTGTGTTTTTTCTCGTGTTTTAGAATTTTTGATGAGAAGCACATGAGACAACTTTTTATAAAGAAAAACAAGATTTGCGAGAATGGGAGAGGAACCTGCAGGGAACCGAAGAGATGCTATGTGAGAATCGGAGAATCATCAATCAGAGAGAGGAAAAGGCAAATGAAATGGACAGGACTCTCAAGCAGAAAGAGAAGGTACTTGAAGAAGAACAGAAGAAGATTGAATTGACCAGCGGAACTTTGAAGAAGAAAGAAGAAGATATGGACATTAGACTATTGGATTTAGTTGCAAAAGAGGAAGTGAGCTTCTGATCTATGTTAGTTGTTTTATATAAAATTGATGAAGACATCGATGGTATTTTGACAGAATGCTCTACGTTAGTTGTCTGATTGGATTGCAGAATGCTGAAACCGTTAGAAGCAGCCTGGAGATTAAAGAGAAGGAATTACTTGTTTTGACAGAAAAGCTTAGTGCCAGCGAAAGAGTTGAGTTGCAACACCTAATATTTCACGGCTGAGACCACATGTTACGTGCACGTTCTTGACCTTATGAAATTCTTTTCCCATGCATTCATACACCCTTTTTATTTTTTATTTTTGGATAAAGCATTCAATGATCTTCCACTTTCCTCTATTTGTTGTTAGTTTTTTATGAAAATTACTCTCATATTGCCTAAAGGCACACTGCTTGAGAAGAGAGACAAAACATGCTAACTGGGTGAAATGGGGTGTGAATTATGAAGTCGAATTTTGGTTTTTCATCCCCTTGTCTTCTTATCTGTTTCTTCAAGTAGCAAGCAGTGTTCCATAGAAGACACTAACCTAAGCTTTGCACATGATTCAACCTGCCTTACATAGATCCATTGCTTTCTCATGAATTTTACTTACTAGACACCCATTATTTAGGTTGCACTTATGATTTGCAATGTATAAATATAGTTTTTAGCTTCACTAGGCCTTTCCTTTCACTTTTGTATCTTTTCTACATTTTAGATCAGGTTTGGATGAACTTATTTATTAGACAGATAGGATATTGATTTTCGATCATATTAGAAGGGAGTCCGTTAGTCAAATTCTATAGAATACAATAAGTATGTCCGCATGTTAAAAAGGAAATGATTTGTGGTCACCTACTCTATCGCTTCTAGTTCTATACATTTCCATTCCATCTATGTATTTATTTTTACTGATTTGTGTTCATCTCAATGGTTTATATTGCATTGAATAGTCTCTTTTTTTTTTTTGTTCATATGATTAGCTGCCAGAGTTCTGTATTTCATTCATAAGTCAGCATTGGTATGATTGATATTTGAAAACAACTTGGATGATTTGGAAATGGAAGAAAGGAGGAAATCTTTTGATGATGAAATAAGAAGCAAGGCAGAAGCAGTGCACCAAAAGGAAGCAGAAATCAACCACATGGAGAAAAAACTGGAAAAACAAGGGCACGAATTGGAAATGAAATCAGAGAGACTAAAGGAGAAAGAGAAGGACCTTGAAGCAAAGTTAAAAACTTTGAATGAGAAGGAAAAATTTATCAAAGCCAAGGAGAAAAGGTTGGAGATTGAAAAGAAACAAATGCTTTGTGATAACATAAGTCTGCATACTGTCAAAGATGAGCTTGAGAAGTTAAGGGCTGACATTAGCCGACACGAACGGCAGATACATAAAGAGAGGGAAAAACTCAGAATTACTGAAGAAGAGAAGGCTGAACATCTCCGTTTGCAGTTGGAGCTGAAAGAGGATATACAGACTTGTAGACTTCAGAATGAGTTGCTTTTGAAGGAAGGTGAGGATCTGAAGCAGGATAGAAATAATTTTGAGAAAGAGTGGGAAGCATTGGATGACAAGTGAGCTTCAATTACTAAAGAGTTAAGGGAAATTGATGGAGAAAAAGAGAAGGTAGAAAAATTGCAACATTCTGAAGAAGAACAATTGCAAAAGGAGAGACTTGCGATGCAGGATTATACACAGAGAGAATCAGAAAGTGTCAAATTAGAGAAAGAATCATGTGCAGCCATGATGAAGCATGAGCAGTCAGTTTTATCCAAAAAAGCACCAAGTCAACATAGTCAATTACTTTGTGAGTTTGAGTTGTGGAAAAAAGATCTTGAGACTGAATTGCAAAACAGGAAAGAAGAATTGGAGAAACACCTGCATGAAAAGGAAGAGAATTTGAGGAGAGGGAAAAAGAGCTTACTAATATCAGCTATAAGGAAATGGAAGAAATGAGATCTGAAAGGCGTTTAATGGTAAAGGTAAGGCAGGAAATTGCTAAGAAGCAGGAAGCAACTGGAAACACAACAACTTGAAATTCATACGGACATTGATGAGCTTTTTGTTCTTAGCAAGAAGCTTAAGGATCAATGCGAAGAATTGATCAAGAAAAGTGACAGGTTTCTTGCATTTGTCAGCAGGCTTAAGAAATGTAAGAACTGTCTGGATATTATGTGGTACTTTGTTCTCTCTGATCTCCATTTACTTGACATGGAAGAGGGAGAGGCTCTTCCTTTACCAAGATTGGTAGATGAAATTTTGATGAGCTCTCAGGGTGATGGAACAAATATCAAGAGATCTCCTGGTGAAATCAATTTGAAATCAGACTCCGGGGGACGCATGTCTTGGCTCCAAAAATGCAGCTTGAGAACTTTCAAGTTGTCCCCTAGCAGAACGATTCAGCACAATGCTGCCCAAAATCTGGAATCACCTTTGTCTGCCGTGGAAGTCAATAGAGCAGAAAAAGCTGACATGCCAACTAAAGACGCAAGGGGGCAAAGTATAGCTTAACAGGGACTAGAACTATAGTTGGGATTGCTAATGCTTCCTTTGATGTTCAACGATTTGCATGTAGTAGAGTTGTTAGAGAGGTGGATCTTGGTCATGTTCCATTTATTGACAACCAGAACAACATGGGCAGTAAGGTACAGGACTTTCCAGAAGATTCTCAGCAATCAGAGCTGAGGAGTAATCGGCGCAAACCTGGGAGAAAACCTAAGGTTGGTATTCATAAAATGCGCTCTGTGAAGGCAGTGGTTGAAGATGCTAAGATAATTCTTGGGGAGACTTTGCAGCCTAATGATTCTGCTCATATCAATGAGGAAAGTCGGGGTGATTCCAGCCATGCTGAGAAAGCTGCTGGCACCACTGCAAGGAAGCAGCATCGTGCACAAACCTCTAGAATCACGGGGAGTGAGCATGATGACAATGACAGCAAAGGACATTCAGAGAGTGTCAATGCAGGTGACGTAGGAAGAGACGGCAGACAGTTGCTCCAGCTACACAAACTCCGGGGGAAAAATGTTATAATCTCAGATGACACAAGATGTAAGTGCCTTGTGTTTTGTTCTCTCAATAGAACTGCTAGGTGTGGTGATGGATATAGAACTGATTAAGCTTGAGTACAGGTGGGAAGTGTTTGATTAAGAAGTTGGGAGTTTCAAATATTAAAGCACTTTCATGTGCATTTTGATTGACTCTATACTTCTGTGCCTTTTTTGGACATGTCAAATCTGGCTTTTGCTTGAGCTCATGGTGGTTCTATTTTCCTTGTTTGAATAGTCATTCTGTTAACTTTCAGTTGGCATGGACAATTTTCTTTGCATTTGAAATTTTCTATAAGTAATGTCTATTGTCTAGTCTTTGACCTCATAATGTTGTATTTGGAAAGTTTTTTGTTTGTGTTTGGTAAGCATCGTATTGGAAGGCCATCCATTAAAAGACATATTGACCGATTTATGTGTCATACTCGCATTGTGAAACTGCAATATTTGTCTTAAAATGCCCGTGAAACTATAGTTTAATATGGAAATATGCCCCTAAAAGTTTATTTATTTATTTTGTTTATATTGCTTGTATATCAGTTACTCTATTTAATCACAATGATACATTCAAAAAGACCCCTACCATCGCATTCCCATCAATTCTCGTACTTAAAATTCAGCTTTTGGGTTAAAATGCTCTTGATAGTAGTTTTGATTTAAAAAATTGTAATGGTATAGTACTATTTTTTATTTTTAATAAGTAATATATATAAAAGACGCTGAAGGGGTGTAACCATTGTAAATGGTAAAATTATTAGTCCAATGTCCGTGGATGGAAAAGAACTTAAAGTGCCTAAGAGATCATTTTTCCGTTATAGGGTTTGGGAATTGAGTGACAAAATCCCCTAATTGCTAAAAAAAAACTTTTTAAGGTTGGAGCCTAAGAAGCATTGCCACTTCTAAGAAGTGCATGTTCGTGTCTGACACCAAAACTTATCGAACACTTTCCGGCATGTGTCGAACACACATCCAAATGTGTCATATTGTTTAATTGTTTTTTGTAGAAATTTAATCTATAAAGAGAAATGATTGTATGTATGTTATATTTTACAAATGGTGAGGGGCTCCTTATATAGGAGATGTAGTGGAGTAGGTGGTAGTAGGTGGTAGTGGTAGGTGTGTAGTAGGTGGTAGTAGGTGGTAGGTGTAGTAGGTGGAGTAGGTGATGGTAGGTTTTAACAGCCCCCAGCAAACTCAAGGGGGATAGGAACTAACCAACTTGAGTTTGGAGAGAGTAACAAAATAAGGAAATAAATCTGAAAATAAAAATGGATAGGAGACACTGTAGGTCGTGTCAAACCGTTGCAGAAGACTGTATGGTTATGGCAGACCGATGTAGAAGACACTTGGCTCGTGTTGGACCGATGTAGAAGACAGTTTAGGGTCATGTCGGACCGTTGTAGCAGACAATGTTGTGACAGTTTGTGTGACAGTTTACGGAGTCTTGCTGGACCCTTGTAGAAACTAACCGGAATCAATGTCGGGACAGTTTACAGAGTCTTGTCGGACCATGAAGGAGCTAACCGAATCAATGTCGGGACAGTTTACAGAGTCTTGTCGGACCCATAAAGGAGCTAACCGGAATCAATGTCGGGACAGTTTACAGAGTCTTGTCGGACCCCTAAAAAGTCGCACCCTCAAAGGTGTACCCAATCTTTCAAAAGGCGTGCCATCAAAAGGCGTGCCAATCCATAAAAAGGCGTGCCATCAAAAGGCGTGCCCAATCCATAAAAAGGTGTGCCGGACATGATGGCGATACACGTGACGACCTTGCTTGCGCGCCCATGTTGTCGTCTAGCGCCGAGCGGCACACGATACGCGTGTCTGCCTTGCTATTTAACCAAGATGGAGGCTGATGCTGAGGCAGAGGCTAAGGCAAAAAACTGCTAAAAACTCTGAGTGTTCTGAGAGAGATATTCGTTTTCTGAGAGAGATACTCTGTAACACTCTGTTGCCATTCTGTAACCAACCTTCTCTGAAATACTCAGCAACCCATAACATGGCCTCGTCTTCCCGTTCAGCTACCCAGAATATGGCCTCTTCGTCCCGTGGTCTGCTCACTCTCTTTCCCGACCTCAACGAGTCAACAAGGAGATAACTGGTGCGGTGGCCAGTGAACCTCAACCAAGCGCCTCTGGTTTTTGCTCCGTTGAACTTTCCGATGCGGTCGGTGGAGCAAAAATGGCGGTGCAAACTGATATGAGGCCAATCAGTATACTTTGAAGTCATGTGTGGAGACATGACGCGGTCACAAACCTGTCGCACCGGCTGCAGAGTAGGACAAATGAGGTGCAGCAGTTAAACGCCCAGCTGGCTCTGCTCCAACGCATGATGTATAGGATCGCGAGCAGAGATAAGTGTGCTAAAGGCGGAAATAAGGAGCTGAAGCGGAAGGCCACCCGTTATGTTCCGATTTGGAGGTCCGCCATATGCTGTAATGGAGGAGCAGGGTGGAGTGATCGTGCCCAGTGGAGTGGGAAACACGGAGCCCACCGTCAAGAGCCGCCAGGACGGAGGCAAGAGAAAAGAGACCGCGGCAGAGTAAGAAAGAAAAATTCCACTGTTCCGATTTGTGTTGTTTGTTTGTTTTTTTGTTTTGTTTGTTTTTTTTTTGTGGTGTAAAATGGTGATCGGGGTGAGCCCCGACATGAATAAAATGAGTTTGGTGTGCAGTTCGTCTTCTTCCTTGTTTTTGTTTTTGTTTTTGTTTTTTTTTTATAATTTGTATGTTTTTTTTTTTTTTTGTTTGTTGTGCAAAAAATAATAATGGAAAAAAAAGATTAAAAAGAAAGTGAAAGAAAAATAAAAAAAGAAAGAAATAATAAGAATATATGTGAAATCAAAACGAGAGAGGGAGGGAAAAAGGAGATTGGTTCACGTGGGTTTCTTGGCCCACGGTTTTGTGAAAACCTGTAATGGGTTTGGTATTTTATTTTTTATTTTTTATTTTTATGATTTAAAAAAAGAAAAGATAAAAAGTGAGGTTCAAGGAAAAGTTGGGCAGTGGAAAGAAGAAAAAGAAAAATATATATATATAGATATATATATAAGATAAAGAATGTTGGGGCGGTAGAAAATGTGATGATGGTTTTGGGTGGAGAATATTTGAGAAAGGAAAAGTGTATATAATAATAATTAGAAAAGGGAATGGGGTGGCCCGAGGAGGGTGCAAGTCAGTGCTCTAAGAAGAATAAGAAAATGAATTGGGTTGCCTTTTGATTATTATTATTATTTTTTTTTGTTTAATAAATAAACCATGGTTGGATGGCTTTGATTGAAGCCATTGATGAGATGATCTGGATCAGCTAGAAGAGTGACGCACCGAACAAGCCACCACTTGGGCCCATTGTCGCAATCTCGTCTTCACTGTCTGAGGATTATCACCGGGATCGGATATGGAGTGGTTACCAACGGAAGACGACGGCGAGTCACACTCGGACGCCGTCGTGGAGGACTTCGAATTCTCATAAAACTGCGTATTCATAGTGTAATAGAGCCCTAAAGCAGGCAAAGAATCGGACAACCGTTGATCGATCTCCGGCGATACGAACCCGAACCCTCGGTCAATACTCCGCCGTTTGCCCTTCCGCCTCAGCCACGCCTCGTCGCGGTAGGCATCGGGAGACCACGATTTCTGTTTTAAGAGCGGCGCAACCGCCGGTGGTGGAGGAGGAGGAGGGGCGGCAGGGCCTTCTTGTTGCTGCATATGGAGAGAGAGAGATAGAGAGAAAAGACCTTCCCCTGATGGGGAGAATGGAGAGAACTCGAAAACATTCAGAATAACTAGCAGGAACATTGTCACTGCAGTTCTAGCAAGAATGGAGACGCCTGCAATGTACATCCCACGAGGAACGTGTGTGGCACGTTGGCCTACCAATGATGGTGAGTTGAAGAAAAGCCCCATGTATGTATATCTTTGTTACCCCACGAGAGTGGTTGATCTTTGTATGTAGAAGTCGCCTCTGGTGGCGGCGAACTGGAAGCTATATGTATTGATAGAGATGACAGCAGAATAGGATGAGGTCCAGCGGGTGGCGAAGGTAAGGTTGCCGCCCGCCGGTGAAGCGAAAATATTAGGTTCTTAACCTTGCTCTGATACCATGTAGAAATTTAATCTATAAAGAGAAATGATTGTATGTATGTTATATTTTACAAATGGTGAGGGGCTCCTTATATAGGAGATGTAGTGGAGTAGGTGGTAGTAGGTGGTAGTGGTAGGTGTGTAGTAGGTGGTAGTAGGTGGTGGTAGGTGTAGTAGGTGATAGTAGGTGTGTCATATTGTTTAATTGTTTTTTCTTGTGTGTGGATCCAATCGCACGTCGGACACTTGGGCGACTCACATGTCCATCACTTAGACACAGATGAAACACATATAAGTTTGAACAAAATAACTTAAAGGATGCAATGATAAAAAGAAAACAATATAGATTTTATACCTATCAATCCCTCTTCCTTCAAACTTTAGAAATTAGTGTCATTTCATTTTTATTCTTTTGAATGAAATAATTATACATAAGACATATATTAAATATATTTTTTTGATCAACAACAGAAGGAAACTTCACTAAAAAATAAGAAGTACAAAAAGAGGACAAAATGTCCTCTACAACAGAAGAGAAAATATCAATTACCAAAACCAAAAACAATTTAACCATCACATATTGATTTCCAATCTCTAGAAATCATAAAAAAGTTGAATTTAAATGGAGTCAAAATGGAAGCCTAAAACAATGCCAAATGACAAACTCTATCCCATGTAGTTTTCGTCTCATCAAATTTGTTTTCAAAGATCCTTACATTCCTTTCCAACCAAATTGCCCAAAAAATTGAGAAAACAACACAATGCCATATCACTTTTGCTTTTATTGAATCTCCGATGCCTCGAAAATTCATTGCAATCATTAGAAAACAAGATCCCAGTGCTACCGATTGAACATTAACCAAGAGAAAGAGACGATGTCAAAGATCCAAAGCTGCCTGACAATGCAACAGTAAGTGATCCAA